TGCCTTCCTGACATAAATGAACATTTGCACGATATTCTAATTTTTTGAGTTTCACCTGTAAGGATGTTACTGAAAAGACTTAAATATACACAAAGATCATACAGGGCAGAGTTTTGTTGGAAAAAAAATCCCTGCAGATCAAATTGCATTATTGGTATAATTATCCTGCTTTTGATGTGAAAAATAAGTAATTTTAATTCCTTTAAGAATAATGACTTTAGATTTTTATTTAAAGCATCAAACAAGCTTTGTCCTTAGAGCAACAGTTCTACCACTGCTACTCTATTATACCCTTGAAATGCATGTGACAGTCTTTCACTTGGATGAAAGGAAATTAATGGGTGAAGAAGAAGTCTGGATAACACCAGAGTTTCAGATAAAACTCCTTCTCTGCTATTAAAAAGCATGCCTTCTCTATTTGCATTGCACCCTATTCCCCCCACCCGCCACACACACTTCTTTTCTGTGTTGATCTAACATTCTAACAGAACCTCATAGTATACTAAGAATGAAGGAAGAAGTAGATAAACAACCAACCAGCGAAAATAGGGCAGATTTTTTCCCAGCACGTAATTCCTCCTTCAGAGGTGTATTGTCCTAGCGCCACTTCCAGGAAGAATACAGGAAGACCTCCCCCAAACAGAAAAATGAAATAAGGTATGAGAAATGCACCTATAGAGGGAAAAACAGAAGGGTGATTAGGAAGATTTTATGACTTAGCAAAATAACCATTCAGACCAGCAGCTAATTATGAGTACAATAAGGATACTCACCTCCGCCATTTTTATAGCAGAGATACGGAAATCGCCAGACATTGCCTAATCCAATAAACCCTCCAGCTACGGACAACAGAAAATCAATCTTGCTGGCCCATTTTTCCCGTTGTGGTGGCTTGCCCTCTGCCTCATCCTCAGGCCGTGTTCCAGGGCTCTTGCCAGGGGAAGGTTTAAGGATATCCTTGTGAAAATCTTTCAAACACTGCAGCTTCTCCTTTGTTGCCATGCTTTTGTTTTCTAGAAAGATCAAAATTACAATATGAGGTATATAAACCAATTTACTTAACAGACCTTGCTCAACAGGTCCACCTGCTTATGCAACATGTTGGCAAGTGCATACACAGTCAGTAACTAAGCCAAGGTTCCCACAAAATCAATACGTGCACAAGAGAGATGCAACTAATGATTAGTAAAGCATGAATCCACAAACTTAAAAGTACACCAATGTCTCTTTCCATTTAACAGCTACCAGTAAACTTTTCATAATATGAAGTTAGCATGCCGCGTTCCTGAACACTCTGGATAGGCAGTCATTATAACCTACATTCAATGTGCTAAAGGAAGTGTTAGCCTCATTATCATGGCACTTTATTTGCAGAGACTGAAATCAATAGTAAGCCTCAATACATCTTTCCTTTTGTCTGGAAGGAACATGGAAGCCACTTGCAAAAAGCTAAGCAGTTCATGGCCCACTACTACTATCTTCATCTCTGAAACTATCTGAGGCATCTTTTAGACAATCTATAGAAGAAGATGAGATCAGGACTCAGGAACTCACTAGGCAATTACATTATGTATTCCTAATCTTTCTTTGGGAAAGTACTGTGCATGACAGGTAAGAATGCAGAATAGGTAAGGAGTGGGTGAGAAGGACATCTGCACTAGTTAATGCCTGGGAAGAAGGCAGACTGTTAGGCCCTGAGGTTGAGTGGAGGCAAAGCAGCAAGGGTATTTAAAGGTTTTTTGTTTTGTTTTTTAAAAAGCACCATCTACTGCAGGGGTTCAAAAGAGAAGTTATCAGTGGTGTCTGCAGGGGGGCCAAGATAGGCAAGCTGGCAAAGTCACAGCCACACAGTTAGAGCCCACTTGGACTTCAACGTCATGACTACCATCTTGCCTGCTTTGACCTCCCTGCGGACACCACTGAAGGAACACAGATGAAAAATGCCTAGAAGACCCTTAATTATTTGGCATGCTACTCCAAATCCTTGCCATTCTCAGGACACACTCCAAAATTTTCAACAGGCTAAGCCCCGGTTTCAGCATCCAACAAACCCCTTAAGCAGTTTTATGGTAAGATTAGCATATCAGCCTAATTCATCAGGTAAACTGGAGTTGCTCACTGTAAAAAAAATCTGCCCACCATTACATCATTTCTTTCTTTTCACTGTCTCAATAGTTGTTCCTTGCCTGAAATTATACTTTTCAAAGGATGATATTTTAAGGATTTACAACGGAGTGACTTTTAAAAGTGTTATTTCTCAAACATAATGATTAATCCTAGTAAGAAAAATATAAAATAGCAGTTTTCCCCCTCTCTCTTTCTCTATTTATCCTGGGCCTGTTTAAATCTAGTCCTACATAAATAACCCTTTCTGAATTTTGAGTTATAGTCCTGCCTCATTCCATCATTCCTTCAGCATCTCATCTGAATTGTTTTTAAAAGACTGGAATTACTCTGATGCACAATAAAACTACATTCCTTGCTACGGCAACGGTTATTAATTAATGAAACATCAATGAGAAGACTTGACTGATACCAAATCCAAAGCACACCCAACTTTCAAAGTAATCCTAGCTTGTAAACACTGCTTTCAATTTAATATGCTATATTTATAACTTATTGATTAAAAAAAAGATTTCATCAAGATAGACTTTCTTATACCAAAGAGCCACATATGAAATAGTAGCTGTTAGAGGTATGCTTTGGACTGCGGAAGAATGTGTCAAAATATTTTTGGCAGCATAAAATTAGCTAATTTCTATAGACATTCTTTTGCACATTTGGAGGCAGAAGAGTTAATTCATTCATCATTTGTGTTGAACATGCTAATTGTTTTTTGTTGTTAGCAAGGAACATTCAGCAAAGTTACATATGTAGGAGATAACACAATGTAATTTCATTATTTTTCCACTTTTTTCAATGTTTAGATGGGCCTACAGATATGAACAACCCAACACATGTGGTAGAATGCTGGATGGGGCAAGGATTTAAAATCTGCTTAAAATAGAACATTTTAAACATTCAAACCTAGCCCTGCTAATTAAAAAAAAATTGCCTTGCTCAAGGCCAATGCCTAAAGTAATAATACTTTAAGCCTTTTTACCTTTCCACAGTGTTTTATGAGTAAAAATATCTTTCATTTTTATCTGACTTTATGAAAACTAGGAAGATTATTTGGTTTATTGTATATGTCACTGCAAAAGCATAGTTTGCATTATTGTACTGGATGTCTGGATTTAATTTTCTGCTTTCTGAGCTGTAAACAGATATGGCTAACATGGCAGAGATCTGAAACTAAGGTTGACATTAGCTTGGCGGGAAACCTGCAACTGGAACTCAATTCTCAGATATATATTCCTCAATATAGCCATGTAACTGAAAACTTTTCCATGAACTACAGATCGACCAAGTTAAATTTGTGGCAAAACAATGCTGGCTTTGGTATCTCTGAATGTTTAACATATATTTTAAAAATATTGTTAATAACCACCTGGAAATTTCTTAAACTCAAGATGTCTTTCATGATGATAATATTTACCTTTTCTGAATGTATCTGGAGAAAATATATGTAATAAAAGCAATGGGAAATGCCAGATAACAGTAAAATAATTAAGATTTAGCCAACTTGTCTCAAATATTTGGTTCAATACAGTCATTATGATGTTACAAAAGAGAGCGCTAGGCAGACATATTAAAGAACATAATAGCTGTGTTCAAGCACCACACTTAACCAGCTCAGTCAAAGGCCATGGGGCTGTATTTGCTTCCCATGTTAAGCTTGGCTAGTTTTAAGTTTCCTTTGGCTTTTTCTTTTCTTTTCAGTGGCTTAGTGTGTTGCGCAAACTCTTATTAGCCTATGATTCAACATATTGTATAACCCTCCAGAATGAACAATTCATGAAACATGTTGAATTAAGAGAGTCAAAAGGTAATATTCATTATAGGAACAGCAGTGACAGTGAAGAACAACAAAGCTGACTCTCTTTGAGAAAGAACTGACTTCAAATATCAATGGGCTGAATCTTTACCTCCATTTACCCATCATAAACATGGAAGGTTTATGTTTCTGATCAAGGAAGAGAGGAAATGTGAAGAAATATTATAAATAATTAAAAAACAGGAGATATTTGGTATAAATTCTTGGGCACTATTAGCAAACTTCTTTTTATAAGTCCCACCAACTGTGTATTTTCCATTCCTGGCTATTTCATATATCTGCACACCAGAACCAATTGTGATGCAAATCACCCAGTAACACTCCTTCCATCCATGAGTTCTCAATAACTTACAGAAACTTGGGAAAGGTCATTTACATTTCAGTGAGGTTTACAACAGGCAGCATCACCTGCCTGACCCATAACTAAGGGTAACATTAGGTTTCCCCATTGTCCATGCAAAGAAAGAGACTGGAAATTCTATCACACTGAGGCAGAATCAGGATGTATGACAAAAGTGCAGAGTTATGTTTTTCTTGGCTGCTGACTGACACTGAATCAGCCCTTCCTCTGCCTATTCCACAGCCCAGTATTCATGCAGACTCCCTCCTTCTGTCTTCTTGGATGATCAGTGGACTCTGAGAGGAACATTTAATGGGAATCACATGTAAAAGCTTGTTAGGAGCTATGCCAAAATTTTCCCTGGGTACTTCTTGGGAATGAGATCATGCTGCAGGAGGAGGAGGAGGAATAGGAGGAGAATGTCTTATGGTGATTAAAAAATGCATAACTATATAGCTACTGTAAATTAATCAGGTTAGATTAAGTAGAACTGAGACTGTCTGAATCATTTTTGACTCTTAAATAATATGGAACAGTTAGCCAAACACTAGTAGCTCCTTTCATAAAGAAACATATTTTTTCAGATGTTATGAAATGGAAGTAGTGCTTAAAAACGAAGCAGTTAATTAATTTGAGATAATTATGTGATTTCTTGATTTAACTAAAATGATTCAAGTCTTAAAAGATTCCAACTTTCAAATGCCAAGTTAAAAAAAAACTGTCATTTTTCTAGCTCAGAATAATATTATGACAACCCCTAAACCCCTAAAAAGTTTATACTGAATAATATTATAATTATAGGTTATTTTCATATTAGCTTATTAACACCCTATATTTTATTGCACTCGTATCTTAGATTTTATTCTGTGCCCCAGCCATAGTCACTACCAATTGAAGGAAATGCCAAGGAAGATGAAAAGGAGATGGTATGAGGCACTACAAGAAAATTCTCAAAAAACAGTGTTTAACAAAAGGCAATGTGCTGGGCATTCACAGGATTTGTGTTTGATTTCCTACACTTTTATTTTACTGATTAAAGCTATAATTACTTTTTATAGATAAGAATCAACAACCTGATGTATAGTTGGAAGGCATTTTGCAAGTATGAACTACAGCTATTGTATCAGCTAATAAGGAACAACAAATCCCAAATACTGTACCTTCTATATTTAAATGTAACTCACATTCTTGGACAATAAAATGATTGAATAGTTCCACTTCTGAAAAACATGCCAGCTTCTAGGAGACATATGTCTGCCTTCCTTTCAGAAAACAAGAGCTTGGCTCAAATATTTAAGATAGTTGGACAATGAGCAAAAGCTACTATTTATAGCAAGAAACAGTATGAATGCAGCCAAATGAAAGTTCCTTCCAAAATAAAAAAGAATAATGTCTAGGCCAAATGTGAATGTTATTTTATTGATGGTGGTCCAAATCAGTTCCATCATATTCACAATCACTGACCAAGCTGTTCAATTATATTACACTGATGAAATTATTACTTTTCATTATCGTGTATCTTTGGCTCCCCAGACACATGACTTTATTAATAAGGCATGGTCTTTATTGTAAAACTTTTTTTTTTTTGCTAACAGGGCACCATCTCTATTTATAAACCATTCCCTAACTGTGCTCCACTGAACTATCAGTTATGATATGCACAAGATGTTCTGTTCAATAGGATTTTCCCCTGACATTACCTCAACTGATTCTGAGCTATCTTCACTAAACTAAAA